TCTCTCTCTCAAATAAATAAATAAATAAATAAATAAATAAATAAATAAAATCTTAAAAAAATAAAAGCCAGCCACAAAAGACCATGTAATGTATGATTTCGTTTACATGAAATGTCTAGAATAAGTATATATATGTAAATACTGATATAGAAGTAATTATATGTGAATATATACAATAAGTGAATTATTATATAATAAGTAAATACACAGATACAGAAAGTAGATTCGTGATTGCTCAGGACCGGGAGGAAATGGGGAGATAAGGTAGTAATCCCTAAAGGGTATAGGGTTTCTTTCGGAGGTGATGGAAATGTTCTCCAATTGGCTGTGGTGACCGTTGAACAATCTGTGAATATACTAAAATCTGGTGAGTCCTACACTTTAAACAGTGCCTTGTACAGCACGTGGATTATATCTCAATAGAGCAATTAAAGAGAAAATCGCCCATGCTATGACTGGCCTAGCTTGACTCTTAGGCTCTCATATGTCCTATGGTGGTTCTGTCTCATGAAGACTGAGAAGCAGAAGCCATGTGGTGCTGTGGAAAGAGCAAGAGCTTTGGAACCGGTGACCTTGGACAACGTGTTTAGCCTGTCTCGGCTCTGGTTTCCTGTCTGTAAACTGGGGTTAGTAAGCCCCACCTTACCAAGTTGTTGCGGTATAGAGGAAAGCCCCCAGCCCCTGCAGTTCTAACATTCCCCGATTTTGAAGTGTGACGCTTGAGTGAAGAGGGAGAGGTGGGTGGTGTCTGTCTGCGGACAGAGAGGTTTGCCTTGCGTTGAAGTCACACACACCCATGAGGGAGCCTTCTCTCCTGTGCGGACCACAGGCCGATCAGCCAGAGGGCTAGAAGGGCGGTTTGGGGATTCACTGCCCCCTGTCATGTCCCCAAATAAGAGAGATGAGGTAGAAGTTAGAAAGCAGAGGGATTTATGTGAGCTCTAGGGACAGCCCTGCGGCCCTTGGAAACTGGTGGAAGTGAGGCAAATGAGAGAGTGAAGAGGAGGCCAGACTCCCATAGAAATGTAGTTCTTTTGCAAGGCAGTGGGATGGGTTGGATGGTTCTGATGTATGCCTTCCCAACTCTGAAACATCTGCCAAAAATGCAGAGATGCTTTTCTGAAAACAACTGGAGGATAGAAAGAGGTATAAAAAAGAGCTAGACGAGTAAAAAATAAAGCAAAAAAACCCAACAGTTTGGTAACAGAGGTACTTAAATACTAGGAAAATGGTACTAACAGGCTAAACATAGTGGTAAAGTACAAGTTCTGGATTTATGAATTCGCCCGCTCACTAAAATTTACTGTTAATTCCAAAATCACTCCTCATGGTACTTTTGAGGGCATTCAAGGACATGAGCAGAGCAGTAAAAAATTTGAGTCACCCCGTGTTTGTGTTCCCTGCTGAGGTCAAACGAAGGCTCTGCCTTCTGGTTTCAGCTCTCCTACTGTAAACAAGTATTTTGTTTTGTTTTGTTGCCGTCTATGTAGTGCTGTGTTTTCTGCCTTGTTTCCCTCTTGGTTGGTGATTTCACTATATAAATCGACCCCCAGATGTAGCATTGAAGTGCTGTCTGGAGTTCTGAGCAAGCTTTCCTTAGAAAGCTGCCATGTGCCCTACGGAGAGAATCTGCTTGTCAACCTTCATTCAGGCCTGCAATGTTAATGCATCAACAATCCACATCAGATAAAGTTTCTTTAAACTGAAACACACATAAAAAAAAGGTTAAGTGTTGATCAGCTGACAAAAATGCTGTGACCAGAAGTTCACGGGCACCTAACCCTATATTTTCTCCAGGAACCACTATCTGCTCTCCAGTGCTCAAGTCTTTATAGACCACCACTACTGCAAACATGAGCATTGGCCATCCACGCTATGTGTTTTTAATGCATGTTCTCACTTGAACACCCACAAAGTAGGTGTTCTTTTTGTGCTACAGGTAAGGAAGTTGAGGTTATCTGTATTAACCTGACTTAGAGCTCCCACGTGGAAGTGGGAGAATTTGAATCCATTCCTCTCCCACTCTCCAGAGAGGAAGCGAACTCTCTAGCCTGGGAGCCTGAATGCCAGTTCTTAGAAAAGGCTGATCAGGCCCGTGTATCAGGGCTGTTGGGAGGGCACCAGGAGAGCTGAGCGTAGTCAAGAACATGGCTTATCTGAGAAAGGAAGGGGAAAGAACTGGACACGATCATCCAGATGTAGTCTGGTCAGGCTCTGGCTGAGCAGGGGGGAAAAGATCATCTGCAACACACAGAAGAGAGGCACCAGAATGAGGAGTGGGTGCCAACCACACCAAGAGAGAAGCAAGGGCGGGAACAGGAATGGTTCAGCCTAGAAATGAGAGTGTGGGGACTTACAGGAGGGATCCTTAAATACCTAGAGGGCTATCTTGGGAATGAGAACTGGAAGGAAAGCAGGTTCAGAGTTACAGGGAGCAGGTTGTGACTCAGTGTAAGCACCATTTTCTAATACTCAGAGCTCTCCAACAGGCCAAGATTGGGACTGGTGGTCCATAGGCTAAATCCGGCTGCAGACACGTTGTGTTGATTCACAGCGTTTCTGAAAAATTGTTATTTCAGTGCCCTGCTGTGGGATGTGTGTCTCCAGTTTCCAGAGCCTGTGCCGCTCCCTGTGCTTTGAGTCCCCCGTCACTCATGTGTAACTTGACTTGCCCTTCAAGTATCGGGTTGACTGATTTAGCAAATAAAAATACGGGATGCAGAGTTAAATTTGAATTTCAGACAAATGACAAATCCTTTTTCCTATAACTATGTCCCATGCAATACTTGGGATATACTTATACTGTGTCTATAGTTAGTTATGTCCCAGTACTTGTGATTTACTAATAAGTGTCCCACATTCAATCTGGCAGCCCTACCCTGGAGGCCTGAACTAGGAGCCCTGGAGGCTGCATTTTGAGGAAGCGTGTTCTGTATTTGGGAAATATTCAAAGACTTGTCTCAGAGGAATGCTAGGGATGGAAACAGGGCTAAAATGATCTAAATGGTCTTATTTTCTTGAGATCCCCCATTTCAGAGAGACAAAACAATAAAAGCTAGAGGGAGATAATAATTCTAAATAACAACGCCGGGTGCTATTCTGGTGTGCGTGACAGGTGGGATGCTGGCTTTTGCTGGAACAGCAGAATGTTCTACCAGAACTGGATTGACGGATAGATACAAAAACATAAAGTGTTTTTGACCTCAAATGTCAATTGCTAGTAAAATGCTTGTTAAGTGCAAGTTGACGGACATGTCTATAGCCGGGGACAATGGTGGCAATCCCTTTCTGGATCGGGACATGAACCAAGAGGCATATAACATCCCCAAAAGGTGATTCTGCTTTATCTGTCAAAAGCCATCTTCTACTTCTCCGAGACTGGGGTAAGCAATCCTGACAATTTTTCCATACCCTGCTGCCAGAAGTGCGTTTCTGGTTGTTTTGAACAGACCGTGGCTGACTCCCCCGGGCCTGGAACATGGTGGCAGTTGATGTGCGAGCAGAAGCTGGCCCTCAAGCACGGTTACCAGAGCCTCCGTTTCTTCTGCAGAAGAGGAGGGGCAAGATCTCTGAGGTCATTTCCAGCAATTGTGCCGCTGAAAGTGTCAGTAGACTTTGGTCATCAGCTAGCCTTTCTGCACCCTCCTCCTGACCTCCAAGGAATTAGGATGTTTATGTTCAGTGTGACTTGAGTGAGCATTTGGTTGGATGCCCTCATTTTGAAGATAGAGCAAATTCCCTTCATGGGAGGGTGACGAGGGCCAGAGCTCTTTGTGGCTCAGTGGGTGGCCTCCCATTCTTCGTCTATGGTTCATCTTGTCTCCCTCCCTTACTTTTACTCAAATCCTTCAAGGTCCCTCACTCAAAACAGAGAACATGACAAAAGGCAGGGGAAGTTAACAAAATGAAGAAAAATATTTGGGGGAGAGAATGCACTGCACACTAGTGTATGGACTGAAATGTACACAAAGGGAATACCCTTAGCAGTTCTAATTTGTCCTTTTCTGGAAAAGCTCCTAGGAGACCTGGGCTCTGCCCTCTCTTTTAAAGACAGGCACGTCCAGAACATCCCCAGGTTGACTCAGATGCTCATTAAGTATTCCTAATGACGCTGGGTTTCCTTCACCATTCTCCTCTTCATCAAGATTAAACAGAGAAAATCTCAGGGGTTACTCAAAGTGAGTAAAACTCAAACTCCATTTCAACTATTGTAAAGTCAGGACAAATTATTTGATATGTGCTTTTTACGGAAAGATTGAGCTTAAAGTTGAGAAGTAACTGACCCAGCAACCTCTGAATCTTAAACAAAGGCCTTCAGGTGACTTAATGGCTCCACCATTTTCAAGTGATGGCTCTATTTTCACTGTCCATTCTTGAGAGGTATTCTGTCTCCTCCATGAGACCTTCAGGGGACCCTGCCCTTTCCACCTCTTAAATTCCTCAGGGTCTTGTATTTCTATTATGCACATGGACCCCCAGCCGGCAGGTGTTGAATGAATGAGTTAGAAATGAAAGGAAAAGAACAGGGGCTCTGGAAACAAATATCCTGGACCAAACCCCGGTTCCTCCAATCACCAGCTAGTGAACTTGGGCAAGTTTTTTAGTTTCTCTAAGCCTCTGTTTTCTTATTTGTAAAATGCAAAGAAACCACCTCATCTGCAGGGTTGTTGTAAGGAGAAAATGGAATAATGAAGGCACTCAATAAGCAGTAGCTCTTATTGTACCTGTTGAATCTATACCAAACTTACGCAATGAGAACCACCACTTGGCAGTATGATTTTCTAACCTTTCAGTGCAGCCCCATCCTGCTTGGCACAAAGTTACAGATTGGCCATCTGAAGGATGAGTTGCTTTGTGTAACTGCCCACTGTGGTGGGCACTATTTTACTGGCCCCTAAGAGTGTTTAAGGAGAAGCATTACAGTCAACAGTGGAATGCATGCCAATTGTTTTATTTATGATGCCTACTTGGATGACAAGGCTAGCCAGCATGTGGCCCCCAGGGAGAAGCCTGTGGCCCCATCCACGTCATTACTCCACAATGCGGCGGAAAGACTGCACGGCTGGGGAAGCTGCACCCCAATCGATGGGCTTCCGGTACTCCTTCTTGTCCAGAAGGTACTGCCTGCCACGGTAGTTGGGCAGCTCGTAGAAAATCCAGACGCCGTCCAGCACCTTACTGGAGTGGACCTCTCTCATGTGAAATTGCTCCATGATAGAAGGGCAATCTTCAGTGGTTTCGTACATCTGACCATTAAAATCTCCTTTCTCAAAGATCTGAATCTTATACTGGCCTCCACTAGACTGGAAAAACAAGGGAGGAAATAAACAATGATGATTATGAAAATCACCGACATGTCAAGAACTCCCAGAACGCTGTGGTTCAGAACCCACCATCTTGAAAGCCAGATGATCTGATCTCCCATCCCCGCTGTGCACTGACCAAAACAGCTGACCTTCGGTAGGAAAAACTTAATGCCTTAAAGTACTCAGGAGGTAGAGAGTGCGCTCTGGAAATAATTCATGTATTCAGTCTTGTGATGAACTGACTTTAGGTTTTATGTAAGCCTCAGCAGCCAACAGAAGAAAACACTGCATTAAAGGGTAGGAAAATGTTAAGAAGATGCTTCCACATAAAAGTAAAAAAACAAAAAGGCGGGGGGGAGTAGGGGCAAGAGAGACAGAGAAGAGCCGGAGCAGGTGAGCGAGCGAGCAAGCAAGCGGAATCCAGCGGGCCCCAGACTCACCAGGTGAACAGCTCGGCAGGAGCTGAGGCGATCATTGAGGCCCATCCAGTGCTGGTACTCGGGGTACTCGCCCCGAGGTAGGATGTACATGTAGCCCGCGAAGTTGGGCCTTTCATACACGGCCCAGGTGCCTCCCTCCACTCGAATGGAGTTGCAGCGACTCAGGTACATGTGGAAATCTGCACAGTCGCAGTCACAGTCATAGTGGCGGCCTTGAAAGTGCTTGTCCTCATAGAAAGTGATCTGAAGGGCAGGGTGGACCAAGAGAAGAACTGGGGAGTCAGGAGGCTTTATTCATAAAAAAATAAAGACCAAGAACATAATCCCCACTTTGAAAATTCCTTTCTCTTCGATTTTGAGGAGGAAATACAGAACTCTACCTCACCTCACAACACCTACCTTCTGGCAGACAACTTTAGTTGTCAACAACAGGAATGAGAACTTTCTGAAGGCTTAAAATGAAGCAAAACAAAAGAGTGCCCTAAGATAAGCCAGACCCAAGTTCATGGCTTCCTCCTTTTTGTTCCCATAACTCACGGTACTCATCACATAAGAAAATAAATTATTCACTTATATATCTCTCTCCCATCAGACTCCTAGACTTCTTCCTGGGGCAAAGACCAAGCCTTATTTAAGCTATGGACCCCTGTATCCTGCACTGGACAAACCCACAATAAATGTTGGATGACGATGAGTGAGTTCCAAATGCAGGCATTCACTGTAGGTGATAATGGAAGATTAATATAGAGAAAAATAAAACGTACCTTAGCTTTAGAGAGCTTATTTTAGATGGATGTGGAGCATACACATGACAATATTTTATGTTCTGTATTATTATTTTATTGCCAACAGAGTAGTTACAAAGCAACAAAATGACAAGTCAAGAATGTTCTTTGCCTCAAACCCTTTACCGAGTTTTCTCCCACAATTTCTGGGGTAAACCTGAGACCTCTAATGGCACGGCGGTGCGCAGCTCTGAGAACCGGGAAATAATAAACCTGGGCTCTTGAGCTGCATCTCTACCGTCAGACTCACTACTTTAGGCAAGCCGCCTCTCTGGGCTCCTGCTTCCCGCTTGTCAGAGGAAGGACTAGACTAGATTGAAGCCCTGGCTGTAAAAATAAAACGTTCCTATTTTCAACAGGAAATAGAGTTCTCAGGCACTCCTGGGGCTTCGTGACGCAGTTTCTGAAAACCACCAGACCAAATAGACTGTAGAGTTTCCCCCTTCTTGTTCTATAATTCCACACTCCAAGATAAATGCTAGTTTATCATTGAAACGGAAAGCAAGGTGTCATGGAGTCAAGCAGTTAATTCCCCAGCGTTATGCTGCCACCTTGTGGCTAATTTGCGTTATCGGTTTAGAAGAAAACCAGGTCAAGCATTTCACAGGAAAGGAGTAGAGCCAGGTGGCCCTGAGAGGATCTCTGTCCAGGGGCAAAGGAAAAGGATTACCTGTTCAAAGGAATAAAAGAACATGGCCCACTATAGGGACAAGTAGTTCCGCAAGCTTGGCGCATATAGAGTCTGCGCATATAAGAAGTATTCGGAAATAAAGCCAGCAGCCTGCTGCGGATGCCATGCTAGAATCCCTCTGGTGATGATGCGCGTGGAAGCAGGTGGTTGCTATGGGTGTGGTGAGAGATGGTGTGGGCCAACCAAATGCCAACTGCTAGCTGAGGACACGGAGGGAACAAACGGTCAAAAGGAATGGAGGATTTGGTGACTGATCAGATGTAAGTAATGATGGAGAGGTAGAAACCAAGAATGACTTGCAAAAGGCCATAAAACCTCAGTGTTTTCTACCCCAGGGGAGACTTTCTAGATCATAGCCTACTGATGGTTATTTCCTTCCACCTTAATCTATCCTGCTTGTCTCTCTCCTTCTGTTTCCTGTTCCCTACGAGCTTCCTTACCCCTGCTCAGCACTAAATCATCTACTTCATTTCCTTTCTTCCCCTCCCAAATTTCTCTTCCAGCTCCATTTCCCACTTCAGCATAGCAGATTGAGAGCTACATGGCATCCCAGTCTACAGATGAAAACAAAATTGCAGCACTACCAGTTACTGGCTCTGTGACCTTGGATAGGCCACTGAACCTCTCTCTAAAGCTCTGGCTCTTCATTAGTAAAACTGGATAACAATATCCACTGCAGAGGACTGTTCTGAGGAGGGATAATCCAATAAAGCACTTAGTTTAATCTGGTTCATAATTGCCAATAAACTTTTGCTACTGTTGTTACAGATAAAGAAGTTAAGTGACTTGCCTAAGGTCAATAGCTAGTTACAAGTTCGTTGCAGGCAAGTGAGTGGACTGCTGTGCAAAACTCCTGGTTAGTGACCTGTGATTCATTTTATCTTCTCTCCCTTTGCTGTCTTCCCGCCTGCACAGCTAACTCTGTTCCACAAACACCATTTACTCTCTTAGTAATGGAACAACACTGATTCTGAGTCTGAGAAGCTTTCCCCAAAGCCCTGTGGAAAGATCTTTAGGAAAACTAAGGTAACTTCACTAAGAATTAATAGATTCTAAACTCCTTAATTTAACTTTAATTCAAATTACCTTTGGTTTTTGGTCAATTTGTCACCCAAAAAGGAGGCTTTGCAAGGGATATGCTATAGGAAATAAAGTTAGTATCTTTTTTACTTGAATGTTTCTCACACTTAGTGCCCCCTGCTCATTTGCCTGGCTAACATCTATATACAGGATGTTCTATAAGGTCACCTTGCTGGCCACCCTTCCAGCAGACTAGCCAGCCATTCCAAAGCTGAAACAAAGTACTGTGTTGCCATGGAGCCATTACTGAGCTCCAGAACCAAGCTCTCCTTTCAGTGGGACACCTTCCAAATCTCAGAGCCTAGAGAATGTTGAACTTCTACTCAATTTCCATTTGCAGAAGGACCATGAAATCTACTCTATGGTAGATTTGCAGAAGGACCATGAAATCTACTCTATGGTGAGCTGAGACTCTTGGGCAAAAAAAATTTGTAGAGAAAGCTCAGAAATAGTGCTGGAGATTTCCCTAGAAATTATTACAAAATTCCTCTCATTTTCGTTTAGTTTTTGAAAAATAGCCTATTAATCCAATATAGCACAAAGAAAAATGTTGAGTATTCCAGAGGTAACAAAACCAAATTTCGTAAAATGCATCGTTTTTGCCAAGCCTATAACTCTGACTAAATTGCTAGTAAGATGGCGGGAAAGGGAGAAGCAATAGAGAAAGAGATTAACTTGCTTTTTTGGCCTAGTAAGCAAGTTAGCTAACCACCATGAACAGGGCAGCTACAAGAAATAAGAGAGCACACTATTACTACTCTGGAAATCTTTGAAAGTGGGGGCATTTTCATCTAAGAGGGTTCTTTTTCTTTTTAAAGATTTTATTTATTTGAGAGAAAGAAAAAGAGAAAGAGAGAGCACACAAACAGGAGTGGGGGCAGAGGGAGAGGAACAAGGAGACTCCCCGCCAGGCAGGGAGCCCAACACGGGGCTCAATCCCAGGACTCCAGAATCATGACTGGAGTCGAAGGCAGACGTTTAACTGACTGAGTCACCCAGCCGCCCCAAAGAGGGTTCTGTAACAGTCTTCCCTCAAGGCACATGGATATTCCTCTAAGGACTTACAATTCTTTTCAGTGGGATTTGCATGGCATGCTTTCAAGAACCTCAGAGCACTAAAGACACTGTCTCATTTTTCTCCCAAAATCTTTTAGATGACGAGTATGATTATTAGTTTTATTTTCCAAGTGGAAAAAAAATCAGGCACTAACCAATTCTGGAATAAATTAACAGGTGCCTCCTGACACGATGTGATGGGAAATATTTGAGGTTGCCTATGTAACTTTCTGGCCAAAGATGGTTAGTCTGAATCTAAACATTAGGAAACAATCAGACAAATGCAGATTTCAGGACTTCCTACAAGACACCTGGTCTGGACTTTGAAAAATGTTAATGTCTCAAACTACAACAACAGAAAGGTAGGGCGACTGTTCCATATAAAAGAGGCTAAAGGAAAAAATGGTTAAAGAAACATGGCAACCAAAGGTAATGCATGATCCCTGACTGGATCCTATATCAGGGGGAAAGCCAGCCATGAAGCACATTTGGGGAAGCAACTGGGGGAAATTTGAATATAGTTTGAATATTAGGTATTATATTTATTACAAATTTGGGGGACAAGATAATGATAATATGTTTATTTTTGGAGATACATGCCTAAATATGGCCAAGGAATTAAGTCTATTTACTGTCAAATGGTTTAGTACAAAGAGAGAGACAGACACCCAATATAGCAAAAGGCTAACAATTGGAGAATATAAGTGGTGAGGGATATGCAAGTATTTAACACTTCTTTCTTATTCTTCTAAGATTCAATGGGTTTGAAACTTTTCGAAGTAAAGAGCTGGGGGGGATGCGGAAATCAGGCACCAATGGCTTTGCCTTACACTCACTTGTCAGTGGAAGAGCTAAAATAGAGAAATGAAAGTAGAATCCCTCATTCCTAAAGCTCTGCTTAAGAGATCAATTTCCAGTCCAACAACTGTGAATCAAATATTTGAGAGGCAATTTTCCTAATGTAAGTAAGCACTTTATTTCAGGAGATGGGTAAGAGTAACTGCTTGAATGAAATGGATATGTAGGATTTAATTCACTTGAATGGTCTTTTAGAACATTACTGGTGGAGGCTAACTTTTACAAAGCAGATTTTTTTTAAAAAAAGATTTTAATTTTCAGTAATCTCTACACCCAACATGGGGCTCAAACTTAAAACCCTGAGATCAAGAGTTGCATGCTCTACCGACTGAACCAGCCAGGCGCCCTTCACAGAGCAGTTTTTAACTAAACACTAAAAGTTTTCTACTCCACATACTCCTTTTATCAGCATGTCCTATTCCTGGGGAAAGTCACAGAACATTGGTTCCTGGAAGGCAGAAATCATGATGATATTTAGCTGTTATATACCTGCACAGTACTGAACATCGCCCCCCACACAAAGACAAGCCCTTAATAAACTGTTGGGGAATTCTGTCCGAGTAGAAAATATAATGAGCGTTTTTTAATCTTCTCTCCCAATCCCAGCCTTCAAACCACTATCATACTCACCTTCAGGCAAAGAAGAAAAGCTTTTCTCCACCTTTCTTTTAGTGTATCTTTAGGTACATTGGAAAATAGGAAACATTCCAAAAGAAAGGAAACATTGGAAAGAAAGGTACAAAGGAAAAGAAAGTGGTAGGCTATAAATCAGTATGACTGCTAACTTACCTTGTTTCCAGACTTAGACATTTTGGTGCATAGATTGGTTTCCCCAGTGCTGGAATCCGGAATAGCTAGAGAGAGAGGCATAGAGACATTTATAGTGCGCTGGTTTCAAATCAAACTAGTAGGGAAAGCTTAGTCATGAGAATAGGATCCAAAAATTGAGTCAGTCATTTAGAGGCTATTGATGGTTTCTAGAAAAACAATTGGGATTATGAAATAAAGGAAAGCTTCAGTACCCCTTCTAATGCTTACCAAGCCTTGCTGCATTATAGACTTTGCTGAGTCAAGGCACCAAAACCCAGCCAAAGTTTTCCAAGTTAAAAACAAAGAAGTCCCCCTTATCTGGGCAATTTGGTTTTCTAGCAAGCCGCCACCTTGAAATCCTCAGTGTCTTTTTTTTTTTTCAATAGAGCTTGCGGGAAAGTCAAGAGGCTACCCTCTAATTCTGAACAGAAGTGACATGTTCCAAAGCAACAAAATGTAGTGACTACTAAACACAATGCATGATCTTATGTTTGGAAAATGTCACTACAAAGGACATTTTTGGGAGGATTAGCAAAAATTTTAATCCAGACTGTATACGGTGCCATTGTGAAATTTCCTGAATTTAATCAATTTAATAATTTGTACTATGACTACATAGGAGAATGTCTTTATTTTTAGGAAATACATGCTAATGTCTTTAGGAGTAAAGGTTTAAGATGTCTGCAACCTACTCTCAAATTGTTGAGTGGAAATACTACTACTGTGCAGAGTGGTAAAGTGAATGTGACGTCACGTTAGCAAGTGGTAAATCTAGACAAGGGGTTTGTGGGGATTCAGATTCTCGCAACTGTTCTTTATGTTTGAAAATTTTTCAGGACACACACACACAAGTTCTAATCCACAAGAAAGGGCTCTACAATATGTAGCCTGAGGGACAGAAAGCTACTGTGAGAATTACGGTCCTACCAAGGTTGAGCTAAGCCCAATCTGCCGCCTGCTTGGTGGCATTTTTTCTGCCATGATAGCCTATGGGAACCTGTTCAGAGGTTCTCGGCACCTATTACACCTCTGACTTTTGGAATGAGATTACATTTTATGTAAATT